GTCTTGCCCGTGTCGGAATCCACCGAGGCGCGCATCTCCTTTGCCAGCTGGATTTTTTTCTCCCACAGCATGACCTGGTGTCTTTGGAAGGGGACAAGGCCGGGTGAGAGCTCGAGGATTTGGGGAGCTTTCTCTCTGCAGCTCTTGCTCTGAGGGCTCCCCCAGGCGTGGCAGCCACGCGGGGCCGGAGGGCAGGTCCCGCCGGGCGGGCTCTGCAGGAGGGCCGGGGTCTGGCTGTGTGCGGTCGCTGTGGGAGACCCTCTGCCTTCTTTCCTAAGGGACGGGCGCTCTCGAGGGGCAGGTGGCCTACGCCGGTGCCCAGGCCCGAGCGAAGGGCGTGACGGGTAAATGAGAACCAATTTCCCCCGTTCTGGGACCGGAAGCCGGCAGTGACAGTCAGCTGTGTCTGGGGTCAGCCAGCCCCGAGGGTTTACGTGGCTGGTGGGCGCAGCCCAGGGCCCCACAGGGCAGGGGCGGGAGGACCCGGGCGCCGACGGGCACTCACTCGGCCTCCACCAGCTGGTTGAGGAGCGATGCCTTCTCCTCCGTCAGCTGCTCCAGCTTCTCCTGCATCTCGATCGTCTCCCTCTCAGAGGCCTGCGGGGAGGGGCAGGGCCAGCTGGGCGGTGGGCTCTGGTGCCCCAGCCCTGCCCGCTGCCATCCCTCCCTTCCCCCACAGCCCTGCCCCCAGGATGGCGGCTGACCTTGAGCGCGTGCACGAACTCGGTCTCGGTCAGCAGGTTGTCCCGCTGCAGGTCCTCGGAGCTGCTCCGGCCCCTGTTCACCAGCAGGCTCAGCTTCCTCAGGTCGTTGTCCAGGCCCTTCATGTGCCGCTCGATGTCCTTCTGCTCCTTGGCCTCCTGCTCGATCTTCTCTGCAGCAGAGAGGGGACCAAGGGGGCAGCAGAGGGTCAGGCCCTGAAGACGGGGGAGCGGGGTCCACGGCTCCCTCTTGCCCCCTCCTCAATCACATCCCTCCAGGGACGGAGGAGAGGGAAGGGGGTCGCTCTGGCCACTTGGTTTCCAAAGCCTGGCCCTTCAAGGACCTGAAGCACAGGGTGCAGACGGCTTACAGGTGGGGGGCGTGATGGAGGACACGCAGCTTCTGGGGACCCCAGGGCACTGATGTCCAGGAGGGGGCGCCATGCCCCCCAACCATGCCGCCCCCTCCAAGCTCAGTGGTAGCAACCTCCCTATTATCCTAACGGGAGGCTCTGGGAGCCCCAAGATCAGGGCAGCAGGCGGCGGCCAGGCCACTGGGAAGAAATGAGACGTGACGTGCCTGGGGAGCCCCGACCACTGGGCAGCACCCCAAGGGGCTGCATGGCTGGGCTGACCTGCGTGGACCCTGGGTCAGGGACCAGGTGGGACCAAAGGGAGAGGATGCCTCAGCAGATGACCAGGGGGTGGATGGCACCCAGGAAGGATGCCCGCCTCCCCTCTGGACACCCTGGCACCTGGCAGACCCTTAGGATTTTGGACAGTTTTCTAGGTCCAGCTGCAGAGGAAGAAAGATGATCTTCCCGACAACGTGTGTTCGGAGGCTGAGCTGTCACCTATCGCTGGGCGGGGCGCCAGCCCAAGGACCCAGAGCTTGTGGGTGATTTCAGCAGAGACGCCTGTCCTGGGCGGGAGGGCGCCCTTGCATGCGACTCTCTCCGGCAGTGCCCTGAAGTCCTGGACTTCACAGATTCAGCACATTTTTCTCAAGTTGTCTGCCACTCGTGCGCCACTGTGACAGCAGCCACCATGGTCAGGACAATGGTCAGGGCAACGGCCCATGGTCACAAACTGTGCCATGAGCATCGCTGTGGTCTGCTGGGGGTTTTTTTGTGTTTTTTTTGGTTAATCCTCACCTGAGAACATATTTTTCCCACTGATTTTTAGAGAGAGTGCAAGGGAGGGAGGAAAGGGGAGAGAGAGAGAGAGAAACATTGATGTGAGAGAGAGACAGCAATTGGCTGACTCCTGCATGCACCCTGACCGGGGCCAGGGACCCAGCCTGCAACCCAGGGATGTGCCCTTGACTGGGAACCAAACCTGTGACCCTTCAGGGCGCAGGCCGACGCCCTGACTCCTGAGCCACCCGGGCTACGGCTCTGCCGTCTGCCTTTAAGGCTTCGTGAAAATGCAGCTGTGCCCGGGCCAGGCCGCCCCCCAGCCCTTGTCCCTGACGGTGCCCCGTCCCCGAAGGTGCAGGAGGCGCCGCGTGCTGGGCGCAGGGGACTCACTCTCGATCCGCAGCTTCTTCTGCTCCAGGATGCGGACCTCCTTGCGGGACAGGTGCAGCGAGGCCAGCTGCTCCTCCCGCTGCTGCGAGGCCGTGACCATCTCCTGCTGCAGGCGCAGCCAGCTCACCTGCGCCTGCGTCAGGTCCGCGCCCTGCTCCTCCAGCAGCTTGCTCAGCCGCTTGATCTCCAGCTCCATGGGCCCCAGCTCTTCCCCCTGGGAGGAAAGTCGCCAAAATGAGCCTTCCCGCTGGCAGAGGCCTGCTTTCTGGGTGGGCTGCGGAGGGCCGGGCCTGAGGTCCCGCATCCACACCAGGACTGGGGGGTATTTACTCAGAAGGCCTGGGCCCGTCCTTGGGTGCCCTCCCCTGAGGGCCCTGGCCATGTGCCCCTGAACCACTGTGGGAGATCTGGGTCTCAGGGGGCCTGCAACCCCTGTGTCCCCACTGCTGGTGTGGCCCCAACTGCGCCACAGCCTTGTGGGGACAGGGGCAGGGCCAGCCGGACCTTCGTTTAACAGTAGCCTGTCTCGGTCAGGGGCTTCATTCCGCCAGAATCCATTCGGGTGCGGCTTTGAGAGGGCCCTCAGGTGCGTGGGGCCCACCTGAGAGCTCACTGCTTCTCCTGCTCTGGGGCTTGAAGCCTGAGTTGGGGTCCTCAGGTTTAGGAGCCCCTGGATGCCCTGTAGGACTTCAGGCCTCAAACTCATTAGACCATTTCCCTTAGAGTTGCGGTCGGTGGGCCCAGACCCACCTGGTGCTGGTCTCTGTGTGGCCCACGGGCTGCACAAAACACCAAAAGAACATTTCAGCCCAGCCGGAGTGGCTCAGTGGGTGAGCGCCAACCTAGGACCCAGGAAGACCTTGGTTCGATTCCTGGTCAGGGCANGGTGCTGGTCTCTGTGTGGCCCACGGGCTGCACAAAACACCAAAAGAACATTTCAGCCCAGCCGGAGTGGCTCAGTGGGTGAGCGCCAACCTAGGACCCAGGAGGACCTTGGTTCGATTCCTGGTCACGCACATGCCCGGGTTGCAGGCTTGATCCCCAGTAGGGGGCGCACAGGAGGCAGCCGGTCAATGACTCATCATTGATGTTTCTCCCTCTCTCTCTTCCTCTCTCTGAAATTGATAAAAAAAATATTTAAAAAAATAAAAAGAACATTTCATGCCAGGTGCAAGTTCTATGAAATTCAAATCTCAGAGGCCATAGATAAGGTGTTGCTGGACATCCACCCGTGGACCACAGTGCAGGCCTGAAATACTTGCTGCCTGGCCTGGGCAGCGGAAGGCTTTCGGCCCTGACTTAGCGCATCCCGCACACGGGCCCATTTCTCCCCCGAATGGGGCGGGGAAGGAGGGGCTGTGCGCACGGTGGGTTCATTTCTAGCCTAAGGCCTTCCCGAGACGGCCGGGGGCACGTGAACCCGCCCGAGCGCCCCCCGGCGTACCCCCAGCGCGGAGACCGTGTGCTCCAGCTCCTTTTTGAGCTCGTTGATGAGGCCCTGCTTCCTCTCGATGAGGATCGTGCGCCGGGAGATCTCGCTCTCGCTGTTGCTGATGAGCTCGTTGACCTTTTTCACCTCCCTGTCCAGCTCGGCCAGCGCCTTCTGGTGCATGTCCAGCCGGCAGTGGGTGTTTGTGATGTCCAGCGTGGCCTGAGCGATGTCCCCGTCAATCTTGGAGAGATGCGTCACCTGAGTCAGCAGAAGGAAACGCGTCGGGACCGTGGGGAGAAATTTCGCAGCCTAGTCCCCAGGGCGGAAGCGGGTTCGCTCCATGTCTGGGCCTCTGATGACTTCTCACAACAAAGAAAAGCAACATTGTTTCTTTTTAAACAGACAGTAGCACACGCTGTGCGGAAACGTGTAAATACAGACGAGGAAATTGCCCAGAATCCTGCCTTGGGGTTGACCACCCCACCTCCTGGAACCTGTCACCCCTCCCAGACTTTCTATATAAATCCCTCCCCCCAAAAAACAAAAGCTCTGCCCTGACCTACCAGCCGGCCCCTTGGCCCTCCCTGCCCACGGGAAGCCTCAGCTCTCTCCCCGCTGCCCCCACCTGGTCACCTGGTCACCTCCCCATGACCCGAGCTGGCTCCGTCTTACATGCAGTCTGACCGGCCACATGGGTGACACCCAAGGGTGTTTTAAAGCCAGACCTGCCCACCCCGGAGCGGAAGCTTCCAGCATCTCATGTCCCCAGCGCCCTGCGGCAACACTCTTGGGCCCTCCCCTCCTCCCCTCTGAGCCAGGCCCTGTCTTTGCTGAGCTCTTCCGAGGTCACCAGGCCGCTCGGGGGTCCTCACAGGGCCCCTGCCCTTCTCTCTGCCCTGGCGCTCAACACCCGTCACCAGCCAGGACACCCGCTCTCCCTGCTCCACTCCCAGGCTGCTCTCCTCGGCGAGGCTGCCCTGGCCTCCTGGGATGGCAGTACCGGCCTGAATGAACGGTCCAGACGGCACCGCTGACCCGTGCCCGCCTTCTCTCTGGGCCCCAGCTCCAGGGCACGGCGCCCGGCCGCGATCCCGGCTGCCCATCCCGCACCTGCCCCACCTGCCTGCCGCCAGCCCAGCTGCAGGGTGTCTGAGCTGGCCCTTCACTGCCCTCCTCTGGACACTGTTGGTACTACAGGTAGGGGCTTCGTGGGCCGCTGGGGACCGGGGTAGGTCTGGGGGCCTGGGGACAGGGAGATGGCCCTTGGAGGTGCTGAAGCAGCGCCAGGCAGGCTACTTCACACCCACCACACTCTTTAGCTTCTCCAGGCACCCACTTTCGCGGGTGGTCTTGCCCCCAATTCCCAGAGAATGGACCGGCGGGACCTCCCCGGGGTCAGCCACGACGTCCCAAGGGGATCCCGTTTTTCTCAGGCTCAGTTCCAGCCCAGTGGGCCCCACTTCCTCGGGACAGCTGCCCTCCTCCCAGGTGCCTGGGAGCCACCAGGTGGACACAGCCCTGCCCTCCCGGGAGGACAGGCAAACCCTGCCACCCGGAGGGAGCACGTCCAGCGCCGAGTTGTTTATGGTGTTTAAGACCCAGACACGACCTGCAGCGTCTACGGAGAGAACCGCCTCCAAAATGCACACATTCGAGGGCGAAGTGTGACATAAAAACAAGAATGTAACTTTTCAAAGACTATTGAAGGAAAATGTTACATTGAATATTGTCAGTAAAGTAAAATAACTTACAGAGTGAATTAAATGTAAAAACGTACACACTGAGAAATTCGACTCACACCGTTTCTGCACTTCTGTGTCGTACTTCAGTAAAATGAATGAAAAATGGAGTAGAATGGACTTTAAAACGGACACATAAGGAGTCCGAGGCTAAGGTGTGAGCACCCGTGTGTACATGTGCTCATGGGTGTGTGCGCGTTTGCTCGTGTGTGCGCCCGTGTTTCCGTGTCTCTGTGTGCGCGCATTTACTTGGCTGCACGTGTACGAGTGTGTGTGTCTAGAAATGTTTCCAGAAGGAAATACACCAACATCCCAGGGGGATTCTCCCTGGCGGGTCGGCTCACAGCTGCCTTATTTTCTTCCCACTGCCTCTCTGCACGCCCAGGTTTTCCGTAATAAAACGCATTGCTTGCCCTGGCCGGTGCGGCTCAGCGGTTAGAGCGTCGGCCAAGGACCGAGGGGTCACAGGTTCGATTCCCGGTCAAGAGCATGTACCTGGGTTGCAGGCTCCTCCCCCACGGTGGCCAGAGCAGGAAGCAACCAACTGATGCGTCTAGGTCGGTGCTTTCACCACCCCACCAC